AAGAAGAGAATGCTCTCCGTGTAATGACCTCACGAGCTGGATGTGTAGACTTACATAACCACCTCCTTTGGTGGAGTTTCATGGTTATTTCTGACCACAGTCACCACAGGAACTGGAGCAGGATGCAGAGGGCACGTTTCGGAAAAGCAGTGGACAATGCCCCGAGGGGGCCGAGCCAACACAAATAAAGTTTTTAATCCTCAGGGAGGAAATGAAAAATCAAATGTTGAGGGAAACATAAACAAAACACATGACAAAACGTGAAACATCCATTGTTTGGCTTTATTCTCCCACTGTTAAAGAACCTAAGATGGGGAAAACAGATGCTGTCAATAATGAGAATCTAAAAAAAGGTGGGAGTTTATGGGTGGGAGTTATTGGAGGACAATTTTATTTCGAGGCATGCTCTATAATTTACACATCTTGATCCATCAGAAAAAGTGTGTACTTCAGTGCAGTAGGCTGTAATTATTAGGTGTCTCGGTAAATTCTCTATTTCTGTTTCAATAATAACTGTTCTCTGCGCTTGCCAAAGCCTTATCTCCTGGTCTTCTAAGCCTTTCTTAATCTCATCACGCTCAGAAATGAACATCTGAAGAAAATAACACCTTTTTTTTCTGGTGTTCTTTATATGGTTATTAGTAGTAGGAACTTTGAATGTATTCCGTTTTGCTGTGATGGCACATAAAATAGACATATAATGAAAATTTCAAATCCACAGTTGCTCTTAAAATATTCCATATCCATAGTAACATCTTAGAAACTGTGAAGAGCAAAATCCAATATTCACAAGCTCCTACTAACCTTGGTTGTTGTGGCTTGCAATTTACTATGGCCTCCAAATGTGCTGAAATCTATACTGAATGGTAACTACACGCATTCATCACTGGTCTGCATGCATGTTTCAGAGGTCCAAATGATGTATTATGTCCAGAAAGGGAAAAAATGGCTGACTGACAAAGAACACAGGGTCATTTTGTGAACACATTTCCAACTGAACAGAGGTCCTATTACAGAAAAACTGGAATCGCACAGAGCTACAAGTTTTATACTGCCTCAAAATTATTGACAGTTTATTTGTCGGCCGTCTCCTGGACCTTATTGTAGTTGACATTCAGCTCCAGTCTATGCCAAGCAATGACCTTTTCCAGTACTAGCCTTATTTTTAGCTAATGGAACGCCATTTAAAGGACAGCATATGATCAATGTATGCCAGGACAGTTTCTTTCCAAACAATATATCCTATGACTTAAATATCAAAGCAGTGATACTAATGCGTGTGATCTAAAAGCCGCTGCAGAGAAAAGACCGTTTGCAATGCATGACAGATTTTATTCATCCAACATTTACATTAGTATTACAAAATATAAGACATACCATAAACTCACATTTACTTACAATGTAAAAGTGGTCCCTTTGGAAAATGTCCATCTTCATGTGTTTGCACAGAGTTTGAAATGCGCACGAATGTTGCGAATGATCATCTACACAGACAAGACCACATAACAAAACATATTTACTTACATACACATATGTACATACTTCTTGTGAAAAACTGTATAGTTCAGGTCTTACCGCTCCACATTTACATTCCTTTATATTTGTACAAAAACATATTGCAAAAAAGTGCCGAATAAACCCAGGGATCAGTGTGAATAGCTATACTGTATATGTAAACGTAATACAAAACAACCGTCTCGAAAGAAATTCAGCTGACAGAAAACGAATTCAAAGCAGCCACAAGTTACCAAGCTAATGTCAAGTGACTTCGATCGCATAATAAATAATAAATAAATAAATAACATTTAAATAAACAAGTCAGTATATAAACCTGTAATATCATGTACAAACAAAAACATAACATAAAAAATCTTGAATTGCACTTGTTGCAGGTTTGGCGATCCAAATCATTTCAGGTTTCCTGCGAGTCTAAACTAAAATGGCTACTGTAGGCACACTTTTGTCCCTTGTTGAAATCTGTTTCAGCTTCCAGAGAGAAAAGACAGACCTTTTTGTCACAAAAGGTCGTTTCCTGATAAACAAATGACAGATTAGATTGATGCTGGCCTAATTTCCATGACCCAACTTTAAAATACTATCTTGTCAAGTTGCTATTTCCTCAAAACATAACTTGGAGAGAGGAACATCAGTTTCTGAGATGAAATCCTTAAAATAAATATATTTTTTTTATTTTTAACTCCAAATTTAACCTCCCTTAAGATTTGCAGCAAAGTAAGCTGAGAATGGAGATGGTGTAGGACGGCTGTACTCATCTTTCTCCAAAATGGAGAGCTTTTCCATAAGATGAGGTCTATCCTCAACTTAGAGTCCAATCTTTAAATGACAAATATGACTGTTTAGCAGGTGAGTATGCCTCCTGGCACATGCGGTCAGAGCATTATGGTTTACAAATCATTGCTTAAAATTGATCTCGAAACATGTTTGCAGATGCACCCCCCGAGCCCAATGGTTTGGTCTGACCTGTGGTCTTCGTTTACCTTAGATTACACGACTGTTTACTTTGTCAATATGGTCCCTTGTCCACTTCTTTAATTCTACCCCACTGAATAGTCTGGTGCTCTGACACCATTATCTCTCAAATAGGAAACAAAAGGAATACATATTACAGATGTCAATCTGAAGACCATTTCTGCTGCACTGCAGTGATTAGCCTTTTCAGTTTTGGTATGTTAGTTCTTATTACTTATCTCATTTTGTATTCAGCATGATTTGGCCTGTATTAAGGGCTTAATTTGTAAATAATGAGGACTCCGAATACTGAGTAGTGATGAAACCGGCAGGTCAATGTGGAGGGGGGGAGGTGCATCTGACACGCAGCTCAGTGTGAGGTCTCCCCATAACATTGAATCTTACAATTAACGAATAAACAAGGCTTTTATGCAACAAACATTCTCTTAATGAGAATTTCCAAAACTAAACAAATAGGGTTTTGCTCTTTTTGCTCAGTGTTGCTGAACAATTACAGCAGTAGTGGCCCCTTTACAAGTGATAAATGTGGTCTGTGATGTTTTAATTACTGTTTGTCAGTGTGCGAGGTTGTATGCAAAAGTTTGGGCACCGCTGGTCAAATGACGTGTTGTTGAGTGCTAATAAGTGACCCCTACCTCTAGAGAACATATCTCTCCACAATTTCACATACAGTTCTTGTTTATTTGATAGATTTAACATACTGGGAAAAAATGGCTCATGTACAAAGGTTATGGCACATTATGTTTTTTGAATATCTTGTATTAAAGACAAATTGTGTTTTAAAATTTGCAGAAAATTGCCATATTTAAGTTTGTTTACTGTAGAGATGTTATATGTGTTATGTGTTATAGAGAGTTAATGTGTTAACTTATTTTCTGAAAATTAAATTGACCAGGCGTATCCAAACTTCTTCATACGACTGTATGTCAAGTTGTTTGTAGAAAATATATTATAATTTTCTTTACACACCTGTACAGATCATCCCATGAATGTATTTAATATGTGAACGAGGCACTGGATCCACTGAAATAGGTGCTGGATCAAGTGTTTTGCTGCTGTTAGATTATTTCCCTCCTGCCTATATAATAAATAAAGTTTCCAGACTTAGTTTTATATGTTGAAAATAACGATATAATTCCTATTCTTGCTCCAGTTAAGTAGTTCCAAATATTGTTAAACACCAGTTACTCAAAACCAGCATCCACTCATACTGTTTCATGTTTTGCAGGTTAGACACCAACTTCTGGTGAATGCTCTAGTCTGCCCATGCTGAAATAAACACATTTTAATTTTACATGGATGTGGGTACTCCGGGCCTTCTTAAGAATACAGTACACTATTAATATAACATTTTCTTATTGTTCAGTGAAAAAAAAGTTTACCTTTAGAGGGAAATTAATCTCTAAATCAAATCATTTAGCAGGTACCTTAAACTTTGTCCTCAATCTCTGCAAAGCTTCATGCAAAAAAAAAACATTCACACATGAATGGGCCTTTTTTTCCAACACAAAATAATGGATCATCCCATACAAGTATTCAAATATCAAAGACTTTGCTTTTAAGTGTATATAACATAACACAGAAAAATGTAGATACAACTTTACAAAGATTAGATCATGTTGTATTGTATAGCTGACATACAGTAGACCTATATTCAGTTATGTAGTGAAGTATCAATGTGACATGCATGATCATTTTTGTCATGGGCTTCAATAAAATTGCATTATTTACAATTAAATGTCCTTCATGGTCGGTTAGTCAAAGGCATTCATTTCTGTGTGTGGGAGGTCTTTGCTATGGCTTTGTTTGGCCAGCCTGTTTTCCACTCATTCATTTCATGTACTGTAGCTCTTCTTTGTATTCACATATTGACATATAAATAAATAGATCATCAAATAAAGAAATAAAGAAATACTTCAATAACGATATATAGATATCGGCTCTGTTAATACTGATTCCTTTGTGAGCTTGATGTGTAAAAACCCATCAAGGTAACTACAATAACTGAAAATATGTTCTCTCTTTAGATTCTGGCTTCTTCTGATAGACCCTGAACTTATTCTTTAAACTCTTATACTATTCCTCATTATAACATTATGAACTCTGTATTAAAAACAGCATCTGTCAGTGAACTATTCATTGAAACCCACGTCTACATATAACAACGATACGAAATATCTTTCCTTCAAAGCAGCGCCAAAGTATAATTTTCTGCAGTTCCTCCATTCCGTGATCTGCAATTCATCACACACACACACACACACACACACACACATGCTCGCACACTTTGCCAGCAGCATCTTTCTGAGACCTTTAAAGACGGAAATGGTGAAACCTACAAATAAACCTCCGCATTTACATTCGTTTGAATCAAGCCAAAAAGCCCCAGTGTCTGCCATGAGTATTAAGAGTCTGTCCTTTTAAAAAAAAAGTCTTCCCCCTCAGCCAGAGCGAAAGATGGCACTAACCTCTTCATGAAAATCCAGACACACAAACACAGAGAACTGCAGTCAGCAATGCAGGATCTTCATGAAAGCCTTGCGGAACTCCACGTTGAAGGTGGTGTAAATGATGGGGTTTACGGCGCTGTTCACGTAGCCGAGCCACGTGAAGGCGTTGTACATTTCCAGAGGCACGTAGCAGCTTGTGCAGTGAGTCTTCAAGATGTGAGTGATGAAGAAGGGCAGCCAGCATATAATGAAAACACCTGAAAGAAAGATGCTAATGGTCACGATTCCTGCCGTGAGGGAATAGGGCTCAAACTGATGTGTTTGTGGTGCGCGGTCCATTTGCCATGCACTTATGGTTGCAGTGCTTGGTCTTGGATGGGATATTTTATAGGCAGAAAAGGGCTCAATCGAAGCTTTGCCTATAGGGATTGGATGGCTACTGGTTTTCATGATACACTGCTGTATAAAACCTATTCATACCGTTTTATCACCCGAATGCTAACTTGCTAACAATAGTTATGACACAAAAGTGAGTTTATTTATATCACATAATTATACATTCACAAGAGCCTCGTTCTGCATACTGATCGGTAGCAAAAAATAACTGGCAAGATTGGTGACAGTTGGGTGACTTGTGAGCAGTTGCTTAGCTGCCTACCATAAACAGGACAAGCATAAATAAAAGACTTAACTGAGTACTATTGCTCTTTTTAAGGTTACGATGGAAGTAAATATGAGGACAACACATTTTACATCTACAATCTAAACAGTAAACAGCAGTAGTGCTGGTAATAATTTCAGATTTGTATTATAGTTGGTTGAACATGAGAAGCTCAATAAAAAGTTTACAAATACAATAGCTGTGCTGAAATTATTTGAATGTGTAATAGGGCTTTTTAAGAAGTCACAGTTATTGACAAGAATAACAAGGCATGGTGTAATTTATCTTCTTTACATTTTTACTAGGTTTCATCATTTCATGCAGACCTGAAGCTGTCAAATGTAAATGTAAATGTAATTCATTGCATAACTCACTTTGTGGCTAATTATAACAAAAGTAATAAAGTGGCTACAAAGGATTAAACATTTTCTGAATAGTTTAACAATATCGCAATAATATTGAAAATTTTGGTCCCTTTGGTCATATCATTAAAGGAAATTTTCATACTGTCTCATCCCAACTCACCTAGAACGATGGCTAACATCTGTGTGGCCTTCTTCTCTTTGTGCTGGGACATCTTCCTCTTGCTCATGGTCTTAGTGACGGTGGTGCGGGTTTTGCCATTGGGTAAGGCCTGCGTTTCGAAGGGTTTGGCCTCTTTGGGGGTCTGGGCATCCTTGGCATGGCCGTTCTTCCCGTCGCTGTTGGGCTGCCATTCCTCGTGCGAAGGTGAGGCGTGGCTGGGGCTCTGGCTGGCCAGAAGGTTTCCTGCTGAGGTGGCTGCCAGCTTCATTTTCTCTGGAGGACTGGTGCTGGCCACCAGACCCATTTCTACACCACCGCCCTGCTGGACCACCTCTTTTATCAGCAACTGCTAGTGGAGATGTGAACAGAGAGCACACTTACCTACACTTACAACTCATCTACACCAGAAGTAGTCTCTACAACAATGCTTATTCAAAACAAGCAGGCTTTCAGCATTTCCCTTCCAGGACGATATGCAACTTATGGTACTCCACAAAAAAAATATTCACTTTGAAAAGGTCTTGACAGCCAAACAAGACACACCATTATCAGAAATATATAGTATATGCATGTGGAAAAGCTGATAGAAGCAGACTTACTGTTTTCTTGTTTTTGGCAGGCAAACTCCCATTGGTTTTAACGATAACTGTGCAGAGTTTCACGTCCTCCGGGTGAGTGCACTTCTCCTGAGGCAAGGACAGGAACAAAAGACTTCAACGTGTGTTTGATATTATGGAGAACATTTGCAGGAAGCCACAGAGATTATTAGCCCTAAACCAAGTGCCCTTTGCTAACGGCCAGACCAAGTACTTCCGCTGAACCATCAAATTTCCTCCAAAAAATACTTTCTGCAGCATGCATCTACTGCCTGAGATAACAACACTCACTGGCCACTGTAAGAGAGCATGAGAGAGAGAGAGAGAGAAAGTTTGCTTGGAATTTAATTGGATGAAATGTACCACGAAAAATCTCAAACCTTTCAAACCAGCCAAAAAGAAAAAAAAAAACAGTAAGTCACATAAACTCATTGATCCAGAAAGGCAATTATAAAACAGATGGCTCAATCAATAAGTAAAATGTGCAAAGGTTAGGTCAATCTGATCATGAAAAGTTCTCTTCTGCAATGAGGCAAACAGAATATTAAAAAAAAACAGCTAATTGTACATCTAGCCTTCTATTAAGTGAACACACTGGTCTCCATCTCACTTTTATTGCTTCTCATGCGCAATCCCTTACTAGCCTTTAGGGAGCAAACCACTAAACCAACTGGATGCGATGCTCAAGGGACTTGTGTTAATTTCACTCTCCTGGCCTTGTTTCTTTTATCCCTGTATTTTCCCTCTTTAAAAAAGAGAGACCTAGTACATGTCCTTAATCCCTGTTCAGAATATAAAGGAATGGTGTTAAACAATGTGCCGGGGAGGGAAATTGTCTGTAATTGTTGATGTGGTGGCATTTCCCGCCCTTAATGGCTGTACTTTCAAAGCCGTCCATTGGGTAATGCATATTCAGTGTGCGCTAAGACAAAGACCTCATAAACAAATAACGAACACACAGGGGAGGCGTTAAAACAAGAGCATCCAAACACAACAACGGCCTTTATGATGAGCTCTAACTTACAGAACACATGGCCCATCTATCTATTAGGCTCAATCAAGCACTGTGTTCATCACAACTAAAGACCTTGAGCTGTTCTTGACCACAGAAATGCCTCTACGGGTTAGTGCAGCCTTTCTACAGTACTGTGCAAATGTCAGAGACACACCAACATATACTAAGAGGCTTTTGTGTAATTTTCTCTTAATTATATGATTCCAGCTTTTGTTTCTGACTCTGAAAAATGAATATGTTGTGCTTAGTGCTGATTTGAAAGGACATTAAATAAATCAAAGGCCAGTCTCTGAATTTTGCACAGTACTGTATATGCCCAAGCATGCTAGATTCACTTTTTCAGATCTGTTTTTTCAGTGCTGATTAATCTTTGCTACTTTGGAAAGAAACACTTCATATTCTTATACTTTCTTTTATCAGAGAAAAATGAAGATGTAAATTCTTCAAAAATTAAAACATTATATCACAAGCATACATGACGGGTAAGTCAGCAGGCAGTAAATGGAATGACAGTGACTGAAATTGACACTTAGCCTGTTCCTGGGTTTGATACCAATCCAACCTTATAACAGAACTGACTGGCTCAAACACTTTAACGAGGACAGACATCCCTCTATTGAACTTGTAATGAGGTACTCACAGTAATTAGGATGATATCATTGGGGTTCAGCATTTCCAAAAATAAATGTCACTTAGTTTTAGATAAATACATCTTTTTGGGGGAGATTTTTTAAATTCAAAATGTAACATAACCTCATAAAGTAAATCATACAGAAGCATCACATTCACACACGTGGTACCACATAAGTAAGTCTATTTGACATTATTTAATAACTCTTTAAGGTTTAGCATGACGGTAATTGGTGGATGTGAGCTTCTAGCACTGCTATTAACGTTGACCTCATAATTACAGTGCAAAACTCGAGAAGCAAACTCCAGACACCAAAACATGTCTTGGCTGATCATCTACAGTTGGGCTAAGGGCCAAAAATTGTGTTAATCTGTCTTTCAGCCAAACCATCACTCTGTGAAAGAAGCCAACTTTTCCTCACTCAAGTGTCTAAAAACCAACTTCTACCAAAATCCCTCCTGGTAATCTTTCTTGGCGTTAGCTACAGTTGCTGAAATAATTAATCTGAGCAGCTGTTCCCCAGGTTTTCGGGCAGTGCATGGCCTCTTTCTGACAGCCTTCTGATAGCATGTACTGCATGGATGATAGATGGGTATTTCCTCATGAGCGGTGTGTTCACCTTGAGCGGAGGCTGGGGCTCAGCATCAGCCTTCTGGCAGCTACGCTTGGTGTTGACCCGTTTCCGACGCTTACGCAGCACCACGTAGATCTGCACATAGACGAGGAGCGTGATGATGAAGGGTACGTAAAAGGACATTATGGAGGAGTAGACCACAAAGGCCGGGTTGGCGATCTCACACACAGCATCGTCACGTGTTGCTGGGAAAAAAGACGTGTTTGCATTAGGGATGTATACATTTATATGTATGTAAGTTTTGTGTTTTCATTATATCAGGTGATGTTCAACGTTCGAAGCCGTTGTAAAATCCACAATATATGCACACCTATGACCACCTCACAACAACCGAATTGAATATGCCACGGCACAAAGAAAACCCTTGTGCTGTTAATGGAATAATCTTCGACTCTAATGCTGCTTGCATGAACCATCAATTATACTGATGAAGCAAGGAAAAACTGAGGGGCTGGCATCTTATGCTCTTAACTGGAACTAGGCTGGTCAGATAGCTAGCTAACAAGCTAGGTTCATTATTATTACAGGCTTGAATTAAAGTACTTATGGTATGATTAAGTGTAAAATGGCAGTAAAAAAAGTGTAAAAAATGTCACTTGAATGGATTACATGCTTAAAATGTTCAAATCAAACCCAGATTGAATCCCAAATGGCTCCAGATTCCCTAAACAGTGTGCTAGCTAGGTATGAAAGTTTAGAAATTCTAGCCTCTACATTCAAATAGTGCATCATTTTTGAAGTAGTAATTTTCATCAATACTCTGTTTTCATATTTTAAGTAGCACCATGCCAGATAGCTCTAGTGTTAACTCATTAGCCTTACATTAATTTTAGTCAAAGACTGCTTATTTTTTTCAGGGTTGTTGTTTTTTTCTTTTCCTGTGGTTAACCGAAAATCCATTCATTAATTCTTATGGATGCTCAAATCTAATTCAAAATTAGTCAGAATTCACATACCTGATTTTCAGTTATACACTGCTGACTTTTAAAACTGCCTACTAAAGACAAGAAACATGTCTCACTGCTGCAAATGGATAATATCCATCTATGTCACCTCTATGTCAGGCGAAAAATTTTTCGTGCTTAGTGTAGCTGATACTGGTGCATTGAAATATGCCTTGATACTGACTTTTCATGTCAGATGAGGACATCTATAGTTTATAGCAACACCTCGTATATAAAAAATTGAGAATTAATATTTTATTTCTTGTAATTGTGATAACAGTGTACTCCAGTGAACAAATCAGGCCATTAGTTGTCCTGCATGTTGTGCAGCTGTTAGAATTTGAATGGAGAGCATTGTGGAGATCAACTGGCGAGAAAGAACAACAGCTGTTTCCATAATTACCTGTGTTGTTTAACCCAAACAGCAGGGGGCAGGAGATGGCGAAGGAGAGAACCCAAACCACCGAGATCATTACAGTTACGCGCCGCTTCGAGCTGTACCGCGTGTTGTACAACATCGGCATGGCAACAGCTGTGTACCTGCAGGAGCAATCCAGTGGAGAGAGGAAGAGAGAGAGAGAGAGAGAGAGAGAGAGAGAGAGAGAGAGAGAGAGAGATGCAAGCACATAAGAGGATATTATTACATATTACGTAATAAATTGTATATGTCACCACTATCATTATGAACATGATGATGACGATCATCATCATTATCATCATCATCATCTTCGCCAACAGTGGCTTTGTTCATATGTTTTCTTCATGCAATAGACTAAAATGCTCTGAATAGCTACAGAGAACACAAATTCATACAGTAAGACCTTTGCAAGGCGCCTAAAATCACTTGCTGTTTTAATGGACTGTCCACAAAACCTTTATAGTACAAAATGACACTTTTAATGTACTCAGTGAGCTGAGACACTCTCTCTCTCTCTCTCTCTCTCTCTCTCTCTGTCTCTCTCTCTCTCTCTCTCTCAAGTAAAATCTCATCGATCCACAATATGCACAGTCATTTCTCAGTCCTCTCTGGATTGATGGCAATTTCACAGGAGACCTACCTGTCAATACTAATAGCACACAGATTAAGGATGCTGGCTGTGCACATCATGACGTCCAGTGTGACAAAGATGTCACAGTGGATTCTACTGAAGCGCCACTCTCCCACAACCTGCAGCACACACAGACTGGAAATAGTTAAAATGCAGGAGAGAATAAGACACTTCAGAACATTTTTAATGAACCATAAGTATAGAAATACAAACAGTAAATGTTATGAGAGCTCATGAAGCAGTGTTTGAATCAGACCTTCTGTTAGTCTATTAGCCTTATAAACAGTTTTTTGAAAATCTTGACTAAGCAAAAAGACAAAATGCAAAAATGTTACACTTGATGTGCTGTTTGAGATACATACTATATAATATTTTCAAAATAAAAATTATATACACCCTTTAAAAAGATGGTTCTTCAAGGGTTCTTTAGTAGAGATGTCAAGCTCGTAACAATAGAAGAACCATTTTTGGTGCTACATAGAACCATATACAACACATTCTCCAACACTTGAAGAACTGTCTTTTGTGCATCACTTCAGTAGTATAATGTTTGTGAAATACTTCATTGTATCTGACAATTAAACCAATTTAAAGTTTAGATAGAAAGATAGATGTTTCTATTATCTTACATTTTACTATAAAATCCAACAAAATAAATGTACAATATTTAAAACAAAAGTAGTGCTATGTAGTGTCCCAATCTAATGATCCAGGGAAAGCTAATGTGTTAGCCCCAAGAGAACACACTAGCCACAATCTAGCATACTAATCACAATACAAGGTTGCAATACTATAAGATATGACACACTGTATTGTTACTTCCCTAATGGATTTTCTATAAAAAGAAATATGAAAGTAAATGATATAAGTTCAAAAGAAAAGCTCACTTCAAAATATAATATAAATATTTCTACGAAGGCATCACTCCAAAAAACTGTTTTATGGCACCTTTACTTTTTAGAGTGTGTTTGCTGAGTGTTCCCTCTGCGGGCACATTTTTCAGATGTAAGCTGCTTATTTGAAATTGACACAGCAGATCTACAACAGGATGAAGAATGCTTAATGTTCAGGCAGGGCAGTAAGAATTTGCTTGTGTACAGCTTCTCAGTTTTTCATTACATTTTGAACTCGCTGTCTGATGACAAAGCAATGGAGTCTGGCAAGTAAGAGAAGCACAACTGTTGCAGAAACACAGCGTAAACAAGTGCCAAAGTTAAGACATTGTGACAGCACCTCGAGTTTCAGTTCATAGCACCTATATGGCAGGAAAAACTTTCCAAAACAAAAACACCCTTGCATTCTCTCTCACACACTTCAAACAATCCGATTCCTTGTGTCATATGAACCTGTCAACGTCTGCCATAGTCCTACAGGTATTGCACTACTGAAAGAAGTCTCTCAAACTGACAGCCACCTGTCCAGAAGACTGGCTTTGTGTTGTTCCGTATCACTTTTCTGTACTATCAAAGGAGTGTATGCCATCTTACAGACACTTACCGTTCATGCAGCATTCTGCTCTGTCTGATGCATTGAATACACTGCAGGAAGACTACATGCTAATGCTTTTGGAACACTTGTTTGAGTTGTACACTCTTACAATGGAGTTCTTTATGGATTCCTTAGTAAAGGCAACGGATCCACAGTATTGTGCAAAAACGCTTTATTTATTTAATTTCCAATTGTTGAAAGTTATCCATCAGGAAAAAAGCAGAAAAGCTTTAACATAAAAAAATATATTACCCCAGTATTGCTCACTCCTCTTCCGCTTGTTTGAAATACAATAAAGGCATCATCAAATATCAGTTTAATACTGATACTGAGATCATTCTGATGTCATTGTACATCTTTAATTATCAGTAGTATTACTATTATTAGTATTATTATTCCACTATTTTCAGACGTTACGAGACTAAGGTGGCAACCTTTTTGGCTCCTGTATGATTTTACTAAGAGGTTTCCTTTTGCTGACCATGCCAAGATTTTATTAGTCTTTCCCAGGACCTTTCAGCAACCCGCCTGGAGGTTATTATTGCTCAGGAATGGCAGAAGCAACCCAATGTCATGTACTAAAGAATGCCGTTTAAGTGTCTTGCTGTGCCTCATCTTGTAGGCTTGGAATCTAAGCTTGGAAGTTAAGTTTGGCTTAATTTTAATGGACACCCAAAAGAAAAGTGTACTCATTTTATCCACTACAATTTGAAACATCTACCACATATTCTGATGGCGGTTTGTAGCAGTTTTCTTCACCAAACATCAGAAGAAATAGGAGAGCAAGAGGAGGTCATGATCAATAAGAGAGGAACATTAGTGGCACACAGTCACAATTTACAACGCTACATTTCTACATTCCCTACATTTTCCACTAATTGCCCTTGTTGGTATCTTGCCTAAGAGACAGAAACTTTCGAAGTACAGTGTCTCCTTAGGAGCCATCAGTCCACAGCACCCCCTGGTGGATCCACCAACACCATGTCCAGCAACAATCAGACTTCTCCCACCAACAGCATGCAAGCCCAAACATGATGTGATTCAATGCACTGGCAGTGAACAGCAGGACAGGATGGTGACTGGCATGATGTGAAGTTACTAGGAGATACAAGACATGCTGGGATGTGCTGCAATTGTTAAAATACCATAATTACTGTGCCAAGTCAGCTGAAATGGTTGATCAAAAATCAATGAGAGTCAATGAAAATTTAGAAAGACTGACCTGACTGCCCCTAGTTATTTTTCTTTACATGTGTTCATGCAACTCAGTTTATAGTCTGTAAACAACTTCTAAATCAAGACCAATTCCTTCTTGTCTTCTCACTCTCGGATTGCCAAATCAATGTGAGGGGAAGACTATCAGAGCACTTACCATCCATTATTTAAACATTAAAAAAAAAAAACAGCACAGCTTCCTTTGGCAAGCCAGTAGCCTGGCATATTGCCTGTGACCTCTAGAGCCACCAAGGATAAACTATCTAAACACAGATTCCAGAAGTACTGCGGAAGAGATTTGCTAGATGGAAAAGAACCATTATTACTATGTTCTGTCTAATTCAGTGGTTTCTGATCCCAGTTATCCCTTCACACTCACGCCAGACATTTGCAGTTTGCGTCTTGTTGAGAAATAAGCATGACGAAGGCAGGACCAGACAACTGACTATGAAAAAAGTCCTACAACTTGGCAAAATACACAGTGACTTAGAATTTTGGCTGTGGCAAGCAATATTGTGGTGAAATTGTCCAAGTTGGTTGCTGTTAAGCAGGCTAGCAATCATAAAGAGTAAGGCACAAAATTATTAGTAATGTTAATAGCCTAGTCACATCGTATTTCACCTCATAACTTTAGTTCAAAACCAGCAAGTTCATGAAGAGTTAATCAGCTAATACCTAGTCTCACATGTACACAGCGCATCTGATCTATTACAGAACTATCAGGGCTTGTTTCCTACAGGTTTGTTTTGGTTGTAGCTCCATTTCCACCCTTAAACATCATGCATAAGCAACAATGTATGTATTATTTTGTGTGACAATCAAATCGATGATTGTTGATACACAGTGTGATAAATTCACTAAATAACATTGAAGATTTTATTGTATTAAATGTATACTGATAGAATGTAAAAGGAACCTGAGCTTCTTGTTTATCTGTGCTGTTGTTTCTGCAGTGCTTCCTATATGCTATAGCTGTGCTTTGTACTATCTGCTACTAGGTGCCACCCTCTGGTGCCGTGTAGAGCTTCTCATCTCGTCTTTCTATGCTTCCTTCTTTGAACTAAACAGATAAGAATCTCTGAGCCATGGTGAGTCAGCTGTTTTTCATTTGCACTAGTAGAGTGTCTGTGTAAGACTGAGCCTGGTGGATTATAGAGTTCAGGCATTTCATGGTCCTGCAATATGAGAATGTATGACTTTATAAAGAAGCTCATATGCATATAAAATCTTTATTTACTACTCGATTTTTTAAAATTTGATGATTATTCAAACTTTTAAAAATGTCCAGTCATGACAGACCTTTCCTAGAACCCAAAACAGCTGCTCAGTTACAGCAAGTCCTTATGTTTTCCCAGAACTTGAGGCTCACTCGAGTGCTTGTTTACTTTTGACAGAAAGGTTGACCAATGCTCATAGACAGGACGTGGAGCATCATTAAGCATCTCGGCTGTCGCCTTGGCTCCACCTCTTCTGTTTATGACTTTACCATTGATTAAAACTCCTTCCTCATCTTGACACCCTTGTTTGCTATCAGGGAGACAATGAATGTCCTGTTATTCAAATCAGCACTTTATCTGTATCTATATCAAGAATGAAGAATTCTGGATCGGACGTTTAAATATGTACATGAAAGAAACATTCTGAGTCGGATTAGCAAGGTTCGCAGAGGCTCCATGGCAACAGTGGCGTAACACAGGTGGTCCGCTCCATGAAATGTAGCCAAACAATGCCAAACCAGCATGAACTTGAGGATGAGTCAGCTGTTTCTCATTTGCACTAGCAAGGTGTCTGTGGGCTTTAGTAAATGAGGCAGCCAAAATAGTTTCCCACTCCAACAGTAACATCGGCTAAGCACACACAAAGAAAACACTGCTTACCTGCAGCTCTAGGTGTTCTCAAAAATTTGAATTTCAATTAGCCCGTTGGCTGTTATATGATGTGATTTCAATTAGGTGCCAAAGGCAAGGGCATCTTTACAATGTAATGACGGCCCTGAGTCATACTATGCTTCATTGTATCATAATTATGGATGAGCAACAAGCACTAAAGAGAAGAAGACAATAATTGAATACCTTACAGTGATAACAAAATCCCATATTTTTGCATGGACTACTGCAGATTTCGTTGTGGTTTCATCGTTCAACACCCACAGCCCCAAACACGGGCTCAGACAAGCAGAAAAAAACATGTCAGCATCGCTTCAAGAAATGACTGTGCTAGTTACCAGCTCCCATACAAAAGATGTCACTTCCCTTGTGCAAAAAAGTTTGCATTATAAATGGTTGTCTTGGCTGTTGGGGTTTATAATTAAAAGATGGCTTACATTGGATGACTGACTCAGCACCAAAGTCACTGGCAAGACAAGTGGAATGTCATATCACAAGGAATGGTCTGTCACACAGACTTCTGAGATGTGACGGTAGAAAAAAATATTTGAATAAATATCCCCTTGTGTCATCCAGCACCTTGGGCTCTTGCTCAATGTCCTAAAAAGTAAATAGAAAAGCTTCATGTGCACCACTTCCTCAACTGCAATCTCCTGGCTTCATTTAGGGATGGGAATGGAAGGAAAATTTCTTACAATGATTATGAATATCAGTGACCAAAATGAATTTTTTTTATTATTATCATGGTATTGTTAAAATGCATTGAAAATGTTTGAAAAGCACTACTGATTGTTGAAAAGCACTACCTGAAATTGTTTCTGGTGCTGTATTTATAGACTATGGTTGATTTTGGTATTACGCATATCCTACATTTTTCTTGTATTTTATTTTTTCTTGAAGTCCACTTTAGATGTTTGTGTGGTTTTATCCATCAAAAAAGCCATAATTGATTTTTAATTGACCATTTTTCAACCTCTCTTTATCCTTTAAAATTAAACAGGCTGTTTTTGTTATTGTGCCTTTACGACTGATAAATGTAATTGAACTCCTTTCTGGATGTATGAAATATGCTGGTTTCATGACATCACAAAAGCAATAAATTCATAATGTGCTGCAGCTTAGTGTCCATATACACCGATCAAGCATAACATTATGACCACCTCCTTGTTTCTACACTCATTGTCCATTTTATCAGCTCCACTTACTATATAGGTGCACTTTGTAGTTCTGCAATTACAGACTGTAGTCCATCTGTTTCTCTGCATGCTTTGTTAGCCCCCTTTTGCCCTGTTCTTCAGTGGTCAGGACCCCCATGGACCCTCACAGAGCAGGTACCGTTTGGGTGGTGGATCATTCTCTGCACTGCAGTAACACTGATGTGGTGATGGTGTGTTAGTGTGCGTTGTGCTGGTATGAGTGGATCAGACACAGCAGTACTGCTGGAGTTTTTAAACACTGTGTCCACTCACTGTCCACTCTTTTAGACACTCCTACCTTGTCAGTTCACCTTGTAGATGTAAACGATAGCTCATCTGCTGCTGCACAGTTTGTGTTGGTCATCAGCGGTCACAGGGCGCTGCCCACAGGATGCTGTTGGTTGGATATTTTTGGTTGGTGGACTATTCTCAGTCCAGCAGTGACACTGAGGTGTTTAAAAACTCCAGCAGCACTGCTGCGTCTGATCCACTCAGACCAGCGCAACACACACTAACACACCACCACCACGTCAGTGTTACTGCAGTGCTAAGAATGATCCACCACCCAAATAGTACCTGCTCTGTGAGGGTCCATGGGGGTCCTGACCACTGAAGAACAGGGTAAAAGGGGGCTAACAAAGTATGCAGAGAAACAGATGGACTACAGTCTGTAATTGTAGAACTACAAAGTGCACCTATATAGTAAGTGGAGCTGATAAAATGGACAATGAGCGTAGAAACAAGGAGGTGGTCATACTGTTATGCCTGATTGGTGTATGGAACTGTAGAGTTGGATTTTAACAACTTTTTTAACAATGTTTAAATCCAATAGGAAACTCCTTTATTGAAAAAAATGGTTTTCCATTATATGAGTAGAACAGATTACACATGTAAAGTACATATGGTGTAAGTTAATCATACAAGATTATTGGAATTACCCAAATTTTCAGCACTATGTGCATTGTGAAAAATATTATTCGAGTAGACGCCAAGAGCTGATGAGCAGATATCCTGTTAAAAATATCCTGAGAAAAGGTAAAAAAAAAAAAAACAGCCAAAAATAAAAGGTGTTTCAGCTGAAATGAATGTAGGGCTGGATCTGGAGGCTTACTTTTTAGGGGGTAGTGCTGGTGTTAAGAAGCTTAAAAAAACGCAGCACAATAATTTAGCTGCAAGCAGAGGCCACCCTAGTTGTTGCATGCCATGAGGATGAAACTTAGAATGCAGAGCGAACCCAAGAGCAGTTTTTGCCATCTGAAGTGGCCCGAGGTGCCCGAAGCCATTATCCAGTCCTTTTGCATGACACAGCGGTGACCCTTAGAGGGTGTGCCACAGGGGTGTAGACACTCATTCATGCATTTTCTTTTCAACTGCACCATGCCTCTATCTGTTTCACTTGACCTACACTGAACACAAAGTCAATTGTGTCTAGCCACAGGACTTTTGAGGAAAAAAACTGGAAATGTCAGCAGAAAGACTCCCCTTTGATTTTAAACCATGATATGGAGGCTCATGTAAGTTTCATGGAGCAGCTGTGCCAGTACACATTTAGGCTTTAAAAAGCTGAGAGTCCGGAGCAGCCCTGAAATCTGATGAAAACCACTCGATATGAACATTCAAGGGAGAGAACTTTTAGGTCTTGAACCACAGAAGACAGGCTGTCTTGTGTGTGGTTAAACCAAATGCATTAAGACATCTCTTCCATTTTTCAAGGTGGTTTTTCATCGCTCTTTCCTCCACTATGAGCAATTAGAGAATTCCAAGAGTATGTGGCTTTTAAGATACAGGTTATGTTTCAGCTTAGCCACTGTTATTTATCTCCGAGTGTGTTCATAAAAGCTCTTCTATGTAATGGTTTTCACTCACGTCTAAGAGCTCCTTTCATCGGCCATCTCCGTCGCCATCTTCACCATCCTACTATAGTAATATTCTCTCTTAGCTTAAGATCACACTTACAGGGATTTTTAGACAGACATTCAATTTTGATTTTCGTTCACATACCTGACGCTCATCTGTCGCTTCCTTCAAAGTTTAAATTACAAGTTGTCTCATCGGACCGGATTGTTCTGCTTTGATTTGAACCACACTGATATACTCAAATTGACAGTACTGCAAACAGTTCCATGGAAAGGGAAAAAGCGATACACGTTTGGAAAGAGAAATCTGATCTGAACATCTCCCCTTTCTGTCTAAATGCAACTTTACCAGCAGTGCTTCACCATTCACCCTCAGATTACAGCATACATCGGAAGTAGGCTGTGATAGCACTGAGCAAAACCTGGATCACAACTGACCTCAAACAATTCTAAAGTGTTGAAAGGTTTCTTTTTAAAATCACAATTCAAAAATGTGTCATGATCGGCAAAAGAGAAGTCAACAAGGAAATTAGCCACCCACTGCACTCTTTCATAACTTTATTTTCATCAGGCCGGAGATACAGAACACTAGTGTGTTGTACCTTCAGCCGTATCAGCCCTTAACAAGCTACCCCGCTGAAACTGATATTCTGAAGCTGCTCTCAAAGGAGCTAACTGATATGTAGACGTCATGTGTTTAAATGTGCTTTATAGATGGAGCTTGTTGCCTGTACTTTATGTTTATTTCGACAGTGTTTATACAAATGTATGTCATTTTCTAATGTCTGATCTAGTATGTCCAATCAAAACAATGTAAGAATGGCACAGTCTGTGAAAAACAAATATCAAGAACCTAATCTAAAAAATCTAACCTAATCTTAATGACTTAGCAAGCTCACTGCTTTAGCATTCCAGCCTAAAATTAGCATTTAATATGACATCTGTCATGATATGCAATATTGTGCAGCAGAGCATTACATCCCTAAGCCTCATGAGTTTGACAGAATTCATAATTTTGTATCCTTTTTGTGTCTTTGTCCAATAATGTTCTCTCACTACTACTGATGATAACAGAATCCTCTTATTCACACAATTGTGTGGAAAAAATCTATGGTAAAAGATTCAGACAAACTAAGCTGCTGCTAACACTGAAGTGGGGGCAAACGGTACAGGCACTACAATACTACTACTTCTACAGATAATAATGTCAATAATAATAATAATAATAATAATAATAATAACAGCAACAGTTTTTCAACACTACAATACCCAGCATGCATTAAGCAAACATGCAATCACTGGGAATCCTCTTATGTCAATAATAAAAACCCTGACTGCTAGCATAACCACTAATGTAGAGGCCAATGAATACAGCCATGTTATTATGTAATGTTAGCTATGTGGCTTCCTTTGCATTAGCCAGCTAGTGAAAAAATATCTGTCTGCCCCAAGTATCTGCCCCAAAGCCCTTGTAGTTCCTCACACCTTCAAGATACACTTGAAGACTACTGTGAGACTGCTCCAGAGACTACCATGGCACCATGATAGAAGGTGATAATGCACATTTGTAATAAATATGGCAATGGTTCTATTTTTAATTTTAGGCCAGATTGGCCCTTTATTATTAGTTACTAAGCACTATTTTACCAATCATTATAAAGTATCATGAGCGACTGACTGGCCTAATGCTTTAAGGTCAACACACATATGCTTCTTCCCTTGCTTCTGTTAAACTAGTAGGCTTCCTCTGGCTCTAAAAACAAACCTCTTAGACTTCGATTTTTGTGAAAAAAAGGTTACGGCTGCACTTCTAAAATGCCCTCTCTCTACCTTTTAGCTTGCAGTTCAGGTTTGTTGTGTATAGGTTGTTTTGGAACTTTTGTGGACTCACAGTTTACGGTCTAAAGGACAGCATGTTTCAAGGACAAAGGACAGAATCGCCTACCCTGGAGCTGCCAAACAGAGCCAGTACAACAATTACTTTAGGCAGCATGCAATACCACCAGCGCTGTAATACCCTAGCTTACTAAGCCTTTGAATTGTGTTCCTCACAACATTCTATTCAACCAAATAAAGCCAATAAAGCAAGAAGCTGAGAAGGAAGATTGGGTTAGTCCTGCAATCCGTAGTGTAACAAGAACTACTTAGTTTGAAACAATTGATCTATCCATGCTCTGCCCACAGATGCATTCTATTGTAGCCACTGTAGCAAGGTTGGCTGCGCTTTACAGTAGAACATCTGCAAAAATCCCATATTTGTGGGCGGAGCATGGTTAGGACAATTAATGGAGCGCCTAGCTCAACTTTGTCATGTTCTGTCACATGGATTAACATAATGAATCGAGAAAAACGGTGCTTACCTCCAGATACACCACCCAGGGCATGACTAACGTGGCCACCAGAAGATCCGCCACTGCCAGGCTGACGATCAGGTAATTAGTGGTGGTCTGCAGGGCTTTCTCTCGCGAGACAGCCATGCACACCAGCACGTTGCCAAAAACGATGACAAAGATGAGTAGTGTCAGGAGCATGGCATAATAGTTATACTGGTGCTTGGCTTCGCAGCCAGTGCTGTTGAAGGCCTCTGTCTCGTTGTCATGGTAAGTCTCATTGTTGGCATACTCCACGAGGAAATCCATGAGCTCCTGCCAGAGAAGACGCCTGAAACTGAGAAAATGAGAGCGATCTGTCAGTCACATTGTACCAAGGAAGAGAGGAGCTTGCAGTGTATTGCTAAATATCACAAAAGCACTCAGCTCTTGAAAGAACATTAAGTGCTGTAAGCACTCTAGTATTCATACCTTGCCATTTCTCATGCATTGCTCTTAAAGTGGCTATGCAAGCCTGAGGCCAGAATACATTTGATATAGTTTTAATCACAGATAGGTACTGAGGAAAAATAAATTAATGGGAAAAATGCAGTCACAAGTGCTTTCAATGATGTGGGCGGCACAGGGTATTAAAAACAGACAATGGGAGCAAGCGCTGAATTCAAACAATGTTGTCAAGCTTCACACCAATCTTCATTTGCAGGGAATAATAGCTGAGACACCCACATCACGACAGTACACCTTTCCTATTCCACTCTTCCTTTCAAGCCCATAACATGCATTGAGCAGCAACAGAAAAAGCATTGATTTGCTGGCAAGAGAGGCGTATGGGCTATCTTCTATTGATTGGGAAATTTACACAAAAACATTTTCATCTTCTTTTAAGTCAACACCTCAGAGTGATGGAAAATGAAAGAAAAGTGCATATAGGCATGTCTGGGGACAACTTGTTAAAATTTTGGTGCTTTGGTCCATTTTAACATCTGCAGTACAATCAATAACACAAAAAAACAGGCTGGCTAGCAAAACACTGTCATTAACAAATAAGGTGTGCATAACTCTGGACCTGAAGGGCTGCTCTCCAGCACAGTTTGGTAGTTTCCCTATTCAAACACAACCACTAAACCAGGCAATTATCAAATGAGTTGAATCAGGCGTGTTTGAGCAGGTAAACTACCAAACTGTGCCCTCCAGGACCGTATTTGTGCACCCCTGCACTAAGGGAACTTTCCATTGCAAGAAGTCTTTTTAATTTATTTGCTCTACATGCTTATTTGGATCATTTGAGAACTTTTCAGCCATACTAATTTACGTTACATCCAACACCTACTTGTTGGTTGAGAAATTTTGAAATTTAGACTTTGTGCCCACCCTAAAAATTCTATATGCCTCATTCACAAACCATTCTGAAGAAAAAAAAATCTTAAAACCCACTTAAACAGAATCTATGCACACTCAAAAGGACAAAGCTGTGAACAATTCAGCAGTTTAAGAACACATCATGAATTTGATGTAGACTTGATTTTAGGACCTTTCTCAAGAAGAAAATTAGGAAAAAACTTAGGAAGATATTTATGTATAAGGAGTTGTTTTACCGTAGCGAGTAACACTCTATCAAACTGAAGTTCCAAAACATCTGCATTGATTTTCGGTTTACTCAAGCTAAACTTAATGTACAGTAAAATAAGTAGAAGAGAAACAGCTGTGCTAGCATTATAATGCGTAGCAGAGAGAACTAATAAGCAGCTTCTTAACAAACTTCTTTCTGTCACTCTCTCTCTTTCTCTCTCTCTTTCTTTCTTCCTCTCTCTCTCTCATAAACAGAAAAAACTGACTATTGGGGCACATGCCTGCACACTTGCTAAAGGAACTAGAACTCCATTTCCCAACATATTTAGGAAAATATTTAATGGTAAATTAGTCTTTTCTTGTTCTTTGTCAGTTTGCCAACATGGCGGTTAAAGCATCGTCATCAGGTTTCCTGTCAGTCATCAACAGTGTGTGATTACATTGCCTTTTTGCTCAGGCCTAGTTTCCACCCACATTCAGACCAAAATTTCCCATGATTGTCCTCATTCTCGTTATGAGATCACATCTGGCCCTGCGAGTCTAGAACTGAGTTTGTACTACGGTGTGATGCACTTTTGGCCTGCCAGCTAAGCAAGTGTTGGTTTAGTTAACATGCTACAGCTCCAAACACAGAGGATAGGTTTACTTTCACCCTTCTGTCCTTCCAGCACCAGCTGCTCGACCTCACTTCCTCAGATTTTAGTCATTATCATCTAAACTTGTTTGTGCTTCAGTTAGCCAGAATCAAACCTGTTCTGTGGAGAGCAGAGCTGTTATCCTGCCAACTAAGCTAATGCTAACTGGCTCCACTCTCCAAGATAGCAGTACCATTTAATATTTAGCTATTTCTGTTATATTCATGAGTTGACATTTTTTGCACTGCCCTCAGTTCTGAATAACTGAATTTTTGATTTGATTGTTTTTGGTTTTGAATTAACGCAGAAAGAGATGGCACAAAAGGCATAAATGCTTTTAGGCAGTCGATATTTTTATGAATCTATCCCCACATACCCCGCTAATACTCTACACTGCAGTAATATATGGAGACGATTTGAAGTTATGAAAAAAGTGGCTACCACCCAACCATACAAACTCATTTCATCAAAAATAGCCAAATGACTTTCTGTGCAGTGCACAGCTAATGAGAACTCCTGCAGAGTAGCAATGGTCCACTAACACCCAAAAAAGCATGCAAATGACTTATTTATATTTATATATGGGACTGAATTTATAAAACAACACACCCTAATGCTAATACAGTTAAATGGGTATGTCAAAATATATCAAAATAAAGAGAAAGCTGTAAAAACAGATATTCATACAAACTATAAATTCAACCACCTTAAAAACCCAGGGGAGAAAAACTAAGGCTAAGGCTCACTGAAACTGTGCTGCTTTTTCCCCCAGTAGCCTCTCAGCATAGGGAGAATTAGATATGCTCTTAGGTGTGGAATTTCAGCCTAATCTGCGCTCAGCCTCAATCATACGCCTCATGCTCATGAAGGACAGGGGATGTAATCCAGCATGTCACTTCCCCGTCGCGTTTATACCTTTCCAGTATGCCTGGTTTTAGCTAAATTGGATAAAAAAACCCACCTCAAGCAACCCAGAGAACCTTCCCTCTAGAGGGCAATCTCACTCAATTAACAGATTACCTGCTCAATGTAATTACTTAAGAAAGTGTAAAGTGTAATTAATTTAGAATAATCAATAATGTCTTCGCGTCAGGTGCATTATTTGTCCCACCTTTTACATCTGCTAGAAAGAGACGCCAGGGGGTGAAAAACTGTGCCACACACAGCATTAAATACAAAAGAGCACAGCTTTTTCATGTGATGATGCATTGCTCATCATTTCGTGTGCTACTCTTAGGCCAGCACCTGGGCTAAAGTATTGTTGGGACATGCTAAATTACTGTGTATAATGCAGTACTGCTAGTAAGTCTTTGGTGTAATGAATAAGGCACTCAATTTAAGCACATAGTGTAGAGTTTCACTTTGTTTTAAATTATAACTCATGAATACTTAATCACAACTAATGAAACTAATGCTACATGACACACTGTACTAATGAGCTGTACCTAGGTAGCATGAAGTAAACCAAAACAATGAAAAACAGATTTAATTTCTATCAAATGTGGTTAGAATTAATTTCAATATTTTCTAATACTTTTCTGTCAAACTGTTCAATAATCATCCAGTAATGTGTCTGTTTAAAAACTACAATACACAGTAAACTTACAGTCTCCGGTCGCTTATTAATCCTCTGCCCTCTGGGTCAATAAGGAAGAGCATAGATCCTCTGGGAAATATCAGTTTTGCCTCTAATTTGCTGAAATCCATTCCACTCCAGCCTCTAGGTGGCTCGTCTTGTAAACTGCGAGGAGACCCATCATCCCCACAGCACCAATCATAAAAGTCCCAGCTACAATTTCCTCACCATGAAATTTGTTCTAAGTGCATATTGATTATAGATTCAGTAAGTATGTATACGCTTTGTGGCACCCCCTTAGGTAAGAAAATAAATGTTCTCCTGTCACCATCTCAAATGCTGTGGAGGCTATGAATGATACTCAGTCCTCTGAGAGAAGTTATGTCATTTTTTTCATTATCTTGATGAATCTTTGAGAATTCTTCAAGAGTTAAGAGAACGACCCAATTTAGCATCCCCCAGCTTTATAGATGCCATACGACATGTGTAGATATCTCTGGTCAAAGGCACAAGTGCAGAAACTGGGTCAGTCTGAGAAATTTGCAGGGTGAGCAACATGTATAGATCAGAGAGCTGCCTGCAGTATATTCACAAAGTGTAGCATTATTGGTCTAGAAATAGCTATTCAAGTAGCAACTGTTCTTAATAGGGTCACCTACCCTAGGGACAACTAGGGACACTGTTCTGGGGCCAGGCCCAAGCAGGAGCACAGGCAGTGGCAGAAAATATTATCCATCATCAGAAACATTACACATTCTTATTCCACATTTAGTGCCAAGCTCTGAAGGAAAGGATTAAAAATGAATAGTGCTGTGCACAGTGATGCTAAAGCTAGGAAGAACATTTGGTGTAGGCCTGGGTTGTCCTGGTACAATAGGCAAACGAAGGCAGTTGTCAGAAGGATTTTACATTTTCGCCATTAGCCAGATATACCAAGGCAATGTTCTTTGAAAGACTATGTCAGTTTAGCATCCTCCACCTTTATGAGTATCACTATATATTAGTGATGCACCAAAATGGAAATTCTGGACCAAAACTAAAATCAGGACACTCAGCCGAAAACCAAAAACAAAAACTGAAAGTAAGGGTTCTTTTATTTACAACTTCCCCTTTTATTTATGCTTTACAGACAGTAGATCAAAGGTGATTATCACCATGTTGGGAAAGACAACTGAGAGAACCAGAGGACTAATTTAATTAAAACAGCTTACAGCTTGTAAAATTTTGAAAATATAACATTTGTGGATGTGGCTTTATATCTCCCACTTAGCAGTCTAAAGTTTCTGCAGCATGGGGTGGTATTAGCATGCATATGCTTGCAGTAACAACTTTCAAAACCATAGACAAAAGAGTTTATTACCAAAAAACGCTTATTAACTCAGCATTACTCATTTCATTTCCATTAAAGAATTTCATTAAATCAGTTAATGACTGTATAGAACACAGCTGCAGTGGACCGTTTTGAGTGTTTTACTGTTGATCTGCTGCTCAAACTGTTTTAATGTGTCTTTGTTGTCCAGTGCAGGACAGTGAAGAAAACAAACAGTGTTTTAATCA